TGGTCAAGTTTTCAAGTTGGGCCAGTGCCTCATCTTGTGCACCTGGACTCCACCAGCAGGGAAATGTTCTATTGGCTGTCCGATACTCTACACATATTAATAAAGGATACTATGCACGACGACATGCAGCGAAACTCTTTNATTTGAGATAAAACGAAAACAAAGGTCACTATTCCCCAAATTCTACTTAAGTGTTCCATTGCCTTCATGTTTTTGTTGGTGATGAGGTGCTTCACGCACGCACGCCATGGCGCTTGCGGTAGAACCGCCCTGAGGGCCGCCGGTGATCCTTTGTGACCGTCGATGAAGAACGTCACCTCGCCGGACGAAAGAAGTCGATGCATGTGCTCGTTCCGGCAGGTCTGCTGGAGCAGGAACTTGTAGTTCGTCGCGTTCTCCTTGTCTGCGAGTACAGTGCTGACGTGGATGATCTTGTTGCTGTCGTGCATGCAGAGGACGTACACAACTTCCTTCCACGAACCTTTGAGGTGGTCAGCGTCCATGGCCACCATCTGTTCAGAACGGCAGGGGCGGAGAATTGGGTATTTCGTAAGGGCAAGATCAAACGGTATTAAGTGCTGGGAGGTCTCGTAAGGCCCTACTTGCGTTGCTGCCGGAATGTTGTTTGGGCTCGCCCTCTCTGAATCCCATCAACAGTTTGGGACGCGGGCGCCCATCAACCTGCGAAGTGTCGACAAGCACAGTTCCAGAAATGCGCTGTAATCGAAGCAAGTCGAGAGAAGGGCGAGAGCTAGAGTAACATGTCATCACNCGTTGCTGCCGGAATGTTGTTTGGGCTCGCCCTCTCTGAATCCCATCAACAGTTTGGGACGCGGGCGCCCATCAACCTGCGAAGTGTCGACAAGCACAGTTCCAGAAATGCGCTGTAATCGAAGCAAGTCGAGAGAAGGGCGAGAGCTAGAGTAACATGTCATCACACGACGTAGTCTCGGATTCGTGCAAACGGACGGTAGAAAATTACCAAAACGGCAAGAGTGAGAGCTAGCAAACAGGTGAAATGCGAGATGCCGCCAAGGGTAGTAGGAAAGCCTTTTCCGTGGCCGGTATGCTCCTTTCTGTATTGCTGCTGTTGTACGAATCTGTAGGCTTGCACCTGGAACAAAAACCGGCCCTAAAACACACCCCAACTGTACCGATAGTCGGATGAGGTCGCAATGTTACCCAACCCTTGTCTGTTGACGCGGGCATCCCCCCCGTTTTTCTCACTTTCACTTTCTCTGGATGCCTTCTTTTCTGTCGGTTCTTTCAATTGAAATAATTTTTGAAGGGAACAGCAGTCCTTGCCCACCGTTCCTCGCACGGATGGCGTTAACCGTCAAACAAACTACTGCTCGTTTTGAACAACACTGGGAACACGCTGGTTGAGGTAATAACGGTCACAGCATTGCCGTGGTGTTGGAGGTACCCGGTCACAAGCAGCAGCATTTTTGTTGACAAGGGAAAGGTGCCGAAGGAAGACATACACTCGAACACAGATATTGCCCGTTCGAGACAAAAAGCAGGTAGTAGTCGATTATCCATTACTGCTGACACCACTTCAAACCTCCACCGGATCTCCGTGGTGCAATTGTTCGGCCCCATGTTGTTAGAGAGGGTACACACACGTACTACACGGCGTACCACGAACAAATGGGGGAACTGCTGTCGCCATAATGAACACTTGACCCCATGGCGCTACGAGACATGGCGCACCAACCAAAGTGCAAAATTCAATCCGGGGCTCAAGTCTGAAGCTGATGAGCAATTGCTGATGGCCTTCCTCGGACCACTTGGTATACGCCTCAAATGTCCTCAGAGGTGCGCTACAATACATATGCATAGTAACCGACTTTGCTGGTGAGCTCGGGACATGGCTGGTCGTAATTTCGATATTGTGTGGCTGGAAAGCCAGGGCGCACTCGATTGTTACCTGAAAATGAAAATCACTTGTGCCTGCGCAAACCTCGCTGCGGGTTTGAGCACAACACTGCTTCTATCCCCGCGAGTACATTCATCGACAACAAACGATGTAGAGGGTTCAAGGATGCTGTGTCGTACCGTTCAACCTAAAAGCGCATCGACGTGACCAACGTATTGTTTGTGACTTTTTCAGTGGCTCTCCACGGCTTTCAATGGCCAATGGCGCTCTCCAGGGCTTGAATACATAGTCTACCTAATAGCTTGGTAAATCTCAGCGAAAATGGAAAGCCAGCAACGTCTGCACGAGAATCACGAAAGAGATGCACCCGCCTTGGGGACACTGTGCGCGGCGACGTAGGCGGCCTTACCCAGCATCAAGAAGCTCCTGACGAACCGGTTGTCGGGACTCATCTAAAAAGGGAAAACGCGTGCACCCGGGATAACAACCACAGGAAGGTCAGAACCCGAACGACACACTGGGCTGCACGTTGCTCACACATCGCGTGCGGGGATGGATCATTTATTTGGATGGAGACGAGTAAGAAGCGAGGGTAGCCTACAGTTGTGCCCAGAGCCTACGGAACGTGACGACGGCACATCTACAACATGCTAGGGTACATGTGGTATTGCTGTTGTCTGGAGTCCTTGCCCAACCTTGCACGGCTGCATCACGTGCACATTGAACAAAAGGGTCCCGATCAAACTCTTACCTCGACGGTGGAGACCAAACCCGGACAATCGCGCTCGATCCCTTCGAAAGGGATGGAAGACGCGAAACCGCTTCATCCTCCTTAGACGGGGTCGCGATGCGCTTCTTCGCGCGTTGTGATTGCCGGTCGGAGACGGTAAACCCCACGGTCTTCAGGGTCCTCTTGATCGCGGGACCGGCGATCTTGGGGTTGGCTCTAAGCAACTGGTCCACCAGGGGTCGTACCACTGCGGAGCTCGTCCGCCCGCCCCCAGCACAGTCGACATGCGAGCCCTCTACCTTGGTGATCTTGAAATCACCCCCCTTCTGTAGGCAGCCTTGAACAACCCAACTTGTGCAAGTCTTGCAAACCAGGTGAATTTGCCCACTGCCGGCACCCTTTCCATTCTTCATGGAACGGCCGGTGGCAGCAAGCTCAGCGGCTACGGCGACCTTCGCGGCATGGCGGCTGGAGAATATCTGCCCTGCGGTAACGGGCGCTACTGTGGTGCACAAACCCGCCGTCGCCGCTCCTGCGCTGCCGCTCGCTCCTCCTTCCATGATTGATGTCAAGGGCGTGTTTGTGTGTGCTGGTGCTGCCTCTCCGCTCAGCGCAGCGCGACACATTGGCAAATATATGCATATAAATGCATGTCAACCATGCAGGATCGGTCTCGCTTTCATAGCGTGACCCGTGCGTCTCGCATATATACTGCAGCAAGCAGTCGTCCACGGGGTATCGTACCCGTGTGTGCATGTTTCCAAACGGAACAGAGTCGTGCTGGGGTATTGCCCAGCGGCCGTTGTTGATTTAGACNTGCATGTCAACCATGCAGGATCGGTCTCGCTTTCATAGCGTGACCCGTGCGTCTCGCATATATACTGCAGCAAGCAGTCGTCCACGGGGTATCGTACCCGTGTGTGCATGTTTCCAAACGGAACAGAGTCGTGCTGGGGTATTGCCCAGCGGCCGTTGTTGATTTAGACCGGAAGAGTTGATAGTTGGTCTTGTTTCGCAGGGGCGGAAACTGATTCCTGCCCCGTTGCCATAGTTGTTATTGGGCGGGAAGATTAGCCGTTTGGTATCCCATGGTTGAAAGGGAAAAGGAGTTGGGAAGATTCCTGCGGGGGAAATGATTGATGAACGGGTCTGATTTCCCGACAGGTCAGGGTACATTTCCGAAAACAGGGCATAGTTTTTGAGAAAAAGTGGTCACGGCAGGGAATACCCTGCCCCTTTCCGGACGCACCGGGGTGAAATTGGGCGCTGACCAATCAAATGAGTGCATTTACTGCTGTTAATGACTGTGTACCAAGGTGTGTCGCTTTTCGACCAGGGTATACCCTGTTGTGTCGTTTTCCCAATAGAAAATAATCGGAGCGTACACTGATTAATTATACCCCAAGAATGCAGACGAATGCAAACATGGGCGGATTTGCGCGCATCGGGGAGTTATGGTGAGGTGAATACATGGAAGCAGTTCGGATTCTGCACAAGTTCGGGCAAGAAAGGCTGGACGTTCCTGCAAACGCAACAGACCGCTTTACCACGCCTAGTTTCGGGGGGCGGTCCGTGTTTATTTTGACAGACTTCGGAAACCATGACCTCAATCTCCTGAACTGCGGGTTGAGCTGATGTCACTATGTAGCTACTGCTGACGACCCGCCGTTCAGCGGTTTACGGTCCGGTCCGTGGCGGTGAGCACAAGCAAGACAAGACACTGGGTGTCGGTCAAATTTGCCGAGATTTGTGGAGATTGTAGGCCACTACGGTGCTGTAAGATCCTCGATATCACCACCAAAGAAGCAAACAAACCTACACGTGCCAGCGCACACGACGCCTCTGGTGTCCTCTTCCGAGAACAGCAGCATTAAGGTAAAAACGGCGGGAAAGGTTGTATTATTTTGAGCCAGCGTCAGAAGGGGTTGAGGTCCCGCCCATCTGCGGTGGCACGCTCAGATTGTTTCTGGTTGAGTGCTGCTGTCGAAGGCTGTTCTACGCTGCTGTCTGACATGTCCATCGTGAAAAAAAAAAAGGCATGCTGCCCGAAAAATGAGGTACGTGTACGTCTTCCGCGGATGGAGTTGCCCTCAAAGACCTAATCTCGGCGCTGCAGTGTGCAGAGTATCATACCTCACACCAGTTTTCTTGGGGAATTGGGGCTGACAGAGCGAATTGTACAGTAGTGACGAGCCAATTTGGTTTGATCCAGACTTTGACGGGTTGTTTTTTCCCGGGAAACGACTTACTGCTGCTGCCTACAGCAGTCCTCCCAGAGCTAACCCTGTGTTTGAACAAAAAACTTACCCCAACACGTGTCCCACATCATTGTTCTTGCGCGCCGATTCCGAAACAACACTAGAAGGAAGACAGAGAGGAGACCGAACATACCTCGAACCCGCACGGGAGGCCCCCCGAGTGCATGTGGTGCAACCGATAGGCATCTTGCGGGTCGGGAACCTCCCCCTTCCCGCACACATCAGCTGACAGCTCTAACCGAAGGGCACACGTCGTCACCAGCCGCCGCACGCCGGCCTCGTCTACATGCTGGCGACCGTTGCTGTCCATTATGCTCTTGGCAGGGTCATTGTTCAGGTGAGACGCTGGTGGGTCGTCCCACTCGCTCCAGTCTAGGTGCGGGTCGCTAGGGTATACTGACGCGGCGCACACCACACTCGCAAGGCACGCCAGCAATGCTACAACAATGGCCCGGCCGCCAGGGATTCTGGTCATGTCTCTCCGCTGTCTCCTTCGCGAACTGCTAATCCACCCACAGGCTACTTGCTGCCCCGTGCTGCACGGCGTCTCATGTACGCGCTGCCTTATGGTAGTGCTCCTCCCAACCGGCTAGGTTGTGGGAGGGGTGTTGAAGAGAGAGGTGAGGGAGGGCGAAGCGGAGTAAATGCTCACCTCCGCCGCTTATTGGATATGAAAAATGCTGCACGCCTAAAAAAAAAAAATGGCGGAAAAAAACAGTATCGTTTCACACAGAACAGCAACGCGACCGGCGTACATCCACCCAAGGCTTAAGGTTTACAGCAGTAGGCTATTCCAGTAGCTATCTAGGGAACCAAGATTTGCCAAATTCCGTCGACTCTAGGCTTCAAACTTGTCGGCGCATCATGCAGCCCCTCCCCTACTAGACCCCGAGTGGGGGAAGTTTTTTCCGCGCGCACCATCACAACAGCATATATATCCCGTGCTGCGGAAAGCACCTGCAGTAGGCCGAGTCGTGCGCCCCCCGTGAATATATGTTGCTTTTATTCGAGAAAGGCTGACCATTTGACTACGTGCACAGTCATCCTATTCGATAAAGGCTGACCATTTGACTCCGTGCACAGTCATCGGATGACTGTGCACGTAGTCAAATGGCAATAAAAGATACACTCTCCGCTCGTAGCCAATCCCAGTGGATCTGATAGGGTGTGGTGATCTCCGGGGACGGACCCCTCGCCACAAGATGCTGCTATTAGCCGTTAATGGTGCATTGAAAGAGATCCACTGGGATTCGAACCCGTGCGTGAATCCTTTATTCGAGAAAGGCTGACCATTTGACTACGTGCATCCTTTAATTGATAAAGGCTGACCATTTGACTACGTCATCAGTCAAATGGTCAGCCTTTATCCAATAAAGGATTCACGCACGGGTTCGAATCCCAGTGGATCGCTTTCAAGGCACCATTATCGGCTAATAGCAGCATCTTGTGGCGAGGGGTCCGTCCCCGGAGATCACTACACCCTATCAGATCCACTGGGATTGGCTACGAGCCGAGAGTGTATCTTTTATT